TCTGATCAGTTGCACACCATCCCCCAAGTATCCAGGAGGAATTAAAACCCAGGTGACTTCCCCTGTACACCTGCTGACCCTCCCAGTTGTGTAGAGGGTGTTTCTGATCCAAGCCCTTTATGCCTGTTACCTTCTCTTAGGGCATCTATTGAAGTCTCCTGCTGGTCAATGGGAAATGACTTAACCTCTGCCTGCCCCCAGGTCCCCTGTGAATACCTGAGCACTTGCTGGTTTCCCTGCACACATGTAAGGCCTCTCCAACCAAACTAAGCCCGTGTCATCCATCAACCACAATGTGATCCACATCTCAACAACAACAAAGCCAGCACAAGTCTCTTTCCCCTTCTTTGATGTTCCACAAACAGAAGTTGCATTTTTTTGCCTATTAAAACTGTGCCAGCCTTGGGCGAATGAAAATTCTTTTTTCTAAAGTTGGGAACTTACACCATTTCACTGAAAGGAATCAGTTTATGGCTGTGGGGTCTGTGCAGCCCATAGCACTACATCACTGCTGCAGAGATATTATTAAAGTAAGGTAGGGACAACTTGACATTAGTGTTGGCTACCAAGTACATGCCCGGGGGAGTGGTCCCTCCTACAGCGCAGACAGCCTGGGCCTTGATGGAACAGGCCGAGGTGATGTGAGATTTCACCATGCTACTCAGAACTGTATGCAATTTAAAGTTTATAAATTGAACATTTCTGAAATTTTCCATTTGATTTGTTCAGACCACAGCAGACTGCGGGTAACTGAAGCCAGAGAAAATATAATGAGGAGGGGCTGCTGTGTGTGGTCGGTGTCCACGGATTGGATAGCTCTCTCTCTCTCTCTCTCTCTCTCTCTGTGTGTGTGTGTGTGTGTGGTGTCCACAGATTGGATAGCTCTGTGTGTGTGTGTGTGTGTGTGTGTGTGTGTGTGTGTGTACGTGGTCGATATCCACGGATTGGAAAGCTCTTTCTCTCTCTCTCTCTCTCTCTCTCTCTCTCTCTCTCTCTTTCTCTGTACATGCAATTTTAGTATAAATAAGCCCTAAGACAGAAAAGCCAAATTCGGGTTGCTAATTCTTGAGGGAAAAGGATGTATTACTTTAGGGGGTTCAGTAGATGCCATCTGATTATTTGTCAAATATTGAGAAAATCTTCATGGTCTGATATCTGCCGATCCTGGAGAGCCTATTATCATACACAGTAATGTAAGAGAGAGTCTCCTAGCTTGAGAAGAAAAAGACTTAAAATATTTGTCTTAGAAGAGGTTTAGTTAAGATTTCAGAGTATAACTCAACGAACTCTTTTAATTAATATTTTATCTGGCAGGAAATATTTATGAGATATTACCGGCCTCATAAATGCAAATGCAGTTTCTATAAATAGGAGAAAAATTACATCCTCTAAGTGTCATACGCTAAAGAGAAAAACTTTAACTGTGAACTCAGCTCCTGCTCATGAAAGAAGGGAAGAGATGCAAACAACGAGGACCGAGGAGGTGGGCCTGCGCTCTAATTAACGGTGAAAATACGCAGCAGCTCTGCTACTTTCTTGTACCTCTCACTAATTTCCAGACGATGAAAGACACACTTAGCACCTTCCAAGCTCTCTGAGTACAGTGTCACCTGTCCTTAAATGCCATTGTGCTCCCCACCCCCACAGACTTGGGGTGGAAAAGCCCAGAACACCCTAAATCTGTGAACACTAGTCAGGACTAGAATCCCAGCCGCTCCTACTCAATTTCAGGCCAGGGTAAGCACACACACACACACACACACACACACACACGAGAGAGAGAGAGAGAGAGACAGAGACACACAGAGAGACAGAGACACACAGAGAGACAGAGACACACAGAGAGAGACAGAGACACACAGAGAGACAGAGACACACACAGAGAGAGACAGAGAGACAGAGACACAGAGAGAGAGAGACAGAGAGACAGAGACACACAGAGAGAGACAGAGAAACACAGAGAGACAGAGACACACACAGAGACAGAGACACACAGAGAGACAGAGACACACACAGAGAGAGACAGAGACACACACACAGAGAGAGACAGAGACACACACACAGAGAGACAGAGACACACACACACAGAGACAGAGACAAACGGAGAGACAGAGAGAGAGACAGAGACACACAGAGAGACAGAGAGAGAGAAATCCAATCAGATTTTTCTGTCTCTGGTTTAAGGTCTCAACATTGAGAGAATATTGTCAAAGCAGTTCTGCCCAGACCACCCTGTTTTGTTACAAAGTCTCCCATGTCCCATCAAGAGGCAAAAGGAACACCGTGTCCTCTCCACTAACCCGAAGGCCACTGCTGCTGCAGAGTGGAACATGGAGCTGAGACTCAGCAAAAGCTTCAAGTGCGTATTAATTAGCTGGATTTCAGAGAACAGGGCTTTTCATGACAACCAAAGAGTTAAATACTACCTGCCGAGTGTTCAACCAGCACATAACGGTCGTCCTGGTAGCTTTATGTCAACTTGACACAAGCTAGAGTCATCTGAAGGGAGGGAACCTCAATTAAGAAAATTCCTTCAGGGGCTGGAGAGATGGCTCAGTGGTTAAGAGCACTGTCTGCTCTTCCAGAGGTCCTGAGTTCAATTCCCAGCAACCACATGGTGGCTCCAAACCATCTGTAAAGAGATCTGGCGCCCTCCTCTGGCGTGTGGGTATAAATAGAGGCAGAAAGTTGTATACATAATAAATAAATCTTTAAAAAAAAAAAAGAAAATTCCTTCATAAGATCCTAAGGTATTTTCTTAATTAATGATTGATGGGGATGGGCCCATCCCACTGTGGGTAGTGCCACCCCTGGGCTGGTGGTCCTGGGATCTATAAGGAAGAAGGCAGACTAAGCAAGCCATGATGGATGAGCCAGCCAGTTAGCATCCTCCTCCATGGCTTCCTCATCAGCTGCTGCCTCCAGTTCCTGCCCTGTTTGCAGTCCTGTCCTGACTTCCCCAGTGATGGACTACAATGTGGAAGCGTAAGTCAAATAAACCCTGTCCTCCTCAACTGGCCCTTGGTCACAGTGCTGCACCCCAGCAATAGTAATCCTAACCAGGACGATGAGATGAACACAAAGACAGTCAGAGTCCCTTGAGGGACAGACAGACAGATTTCCTGACTAATAGAGTAAGCAGCAGTGAGTAACCAGGGGCAGGCGCTGGCCTGGTGGCACTTAGCGGTGTTCCTGGGTGGGCCGTTCAGGCCCAGTGACAGGCATGTTTCTCCTTGTCATGGAATAAACCAGCTTCCTTGTCATGGCCATCATTCATATGATAAATAAATATTCTCCCATAATAAATATAAACAACAGGAGCTAGGGCCTAGGGATACACAAACACAGGCAGGCTGTGTTTGCCTTTGGGGCCAAAGACTGCTTACTCTAAGCCTGTTATTGTGGTGTTTAACCCTAAAGGCTGGGTAACAGACATGGGTAAGAGCTGACACCGCTGAGTTCTCTAGGCTCTCCTGAAGGCAGCCGCAGATAGTCACCTGCTGGCTCTCCCAGACAGCAGCCCTCCCTGTGCAGAGTGACATTTCTGTCTTTCCTACAGTTCACAGGGATTGAAGAATAGAGTTCTCTTTGCTCAAGGCCAGGAGTCCACAGAAGAGAGGTGAAGTGAGTGGGAGTTTCAGGCAGCACGGAGAAGGATGGGGCTGTGTAGGGATGAACAATAGATCCCGAAAGGATGCTCAGCCCCCAGAACAGCAACCAATGGAGTGTATACATGGAGAAAGTCTCACAGAAAATGAAATAAAACCTTGAGATCCGATCAGATGCAGAGAATGTGGATACAGAACAATGTACAAGAAAAGGACTGGGGGTGGTGGGTTTGGTGTTTAATGAAACATGGGGATTCAGGACTGTGCCATCAATACCCTTATCACACAGTTTTCATTAGCATACTTATTAATACAACAATGTGCACAGGACTTCATTTCTGAAATGACACTACACTTTTCATATTTTATATAAAGAGCCTTTGGGAAGAGACAAAGAGAGAAGTGGGGCAGTGGGAGGCAAGGTACCCGCCTTAACCGGAGGTGGTTCAGATCTCATTTGTCCTTCTATGAAAGGCCACTTCCTTGCCATTCCCACCGACCTATAGGACCTATAGGCCGCTTAGGAGCCTTCTCCTAAGCAGAATGCCCTAACAGACCCATTTCCTTCTCTCTTCTCTAGACTTTCACCTCCAGTCAGAGGTTCAGACCTTTCGAAATCTGGTCCAGCTACAGGAGCCAAACTCGTCAGCGTTGGGATACAGCTTGAGGTGCCACTAGGACAGTGACTCCTGACTTCCCTAGGAATGTTCCCACCTGTTGCATCTCTGTTGGGTCTCTGGAAAGGCATTTCTGTTAACACCCCCCTTCAAAGCGCCCCCAGAGTGACTGCACAGTCCCTGCAAGGCTCTGAGCCTGCATTTTCTGCCCCAAGAGTTTCTCCTGTCTGCGCCTCCGTAGCCTTTACACACAGGCACGCGGGCGCTCACACACTAGCGGGGGCGCTTACATCCATGGGCGCACAGACGAGCGATCACACATACACACATATACACGCGAGCCTTCCCACATGTACACGGGGCCGCTCTCACAAACTCAACATCAGCCTGTTTAGGTCTCTGGCTAGAAGCACAGGAGCATCACTAGGGAAGTCCAGGAGGGAGGTGGCGAACCAGAAGAGAAGGGGGGGGCAGTGGGCAAGACAGTAGGGCGGAGGCTGCTAGCTCTCTCTGATAGGCCTCCAGCACCCAACTCCTTGCCAAGTGACTGCGACCCCGATACCAACAGCCCCCACCCATCTCCACTATCTGCCCCTTTGTGCACGCATTTTCCCACATTGCTGTCTTTCCTTGTTGTTCTTCTTTGCCTGTGGCCCTTTAAATCGTATTCTTTTCCAGAGATTCAATTGTAGGGGGACAGAAGGAGGAGAACCCAGGGGGACGGGAGGGGATGAGGCGGGAGAAGAGAGAAGGGCGGGGAGGAGAAGGACAGCGAAGAGCCTCCTGCTGCTCTCTCTAGCTAGAAGGGCGAGGCAGACCCGTGAAGGGGCGGGAGGTTTAGGCGCCTCTGCCCGCAGGACTTGCGACTCCTGAGTAGCACAGAGCAGCTGCCAGGAGGTCGGCAATGCCTGAGGCTAGGGAATCCCCGGGAGAGCCCTGAGCGCCACCTGCACCGCCTAGGAAGGACGGCCAGAAGTTAGCCCCAGGGGTTCAGAGAAGCTCCCTTCTCTACAAGTAAGTTGTCTCCTTTTCCCTTGAGTCCCTCCCCAGCCCAGCGACTCCCCAAGCCGGACCGGACCGGGGGTCCTTTGGTTCTGAAAGCAGGCGTACACCGCCCCTCACCCCTGAGCCTGCCAGGTAGCGATGGGATGGGAACAAGATCCTGAGGTCCAAAGTTCAGCAAACCCAAGCTTGGCTTTAGCAGCCGGCCTCCGGGAGATGAGGAGTCCAGCCTCCCGAGGACTGTAAACGCCCCTGCTCTCGGCGCCAGACCCGATACCTGGGCGCCCGAAACAGCCTTCCATCTTTGGCTTGCCAGAACAGGCTGTAGGAGGAGATAAAGAGAACCTTGCTCCCACTAACAGCTCTACCTTCAAGTGGGTGCCGAGATAGCCAGGTGGGACGAACCCCTGAACCTTAGACTCTCGGCTTCAGCTGATTTCTGGTCAAATTGGAAAGCCTCTCTTGTGGTGCCAGACGCCCCCCCCCCTCCACTTCTCCACCCCGCCCCCGTGCACTGGACGCTACTTACATGCTTTCATTCTTTTTAAAACATCTTTTCCATATTCAAAAAGAAAGGGAAAAGAAAAGAAAAAAAGAAAGAAAAGGTTAAAGATAAAAGCTGAGGAGGGCGAGTATACTGTCATAGTATTTTTGTTTTTGTCTTTCCCTGACCGTGTTTCTTCCTGGAGATCCGCTCCGCAGACCCTGATTCTGTCAGGGTTTTTCTCAAATGCAAGGACAGGCCACTGGGAGGGGGGCTTTTCTATCCTGGGGCTGTGGAACCGACTTTGGTCAGTGCTGGCTCCTCAAAATTCCACGGGATACTCCCAAGGGGAAGTAGGAGGTTCTAGCCTGCCCAGTATCCGTACTAAAAACTGAGGACCTTTTCGAATACATGATGACCCACAGGAATATGTATGTTTACCAAAAACTCTAAGATTCTTCTAGGTTAAGCAGGATTCTTCTAGGTTTAACCCTACAGGTTAGAAACGGCAGCCCAGGGAGGATGAGTAACTTGCTTTTAACACACAGCTTATGACAGGAGATTCTCATCTATATCTGACTCCAAATTGTACATACCTATTCGTTAACATAAACAAGCTGCCTAGTTCACAGAGCACATTCCCACGTGGGAAAGTCGGGAAAAGCTACTGGTATTTATGGAACTGGGATGCTAACCTGGACACAAGTCCTGTACGATGGAGTTTGGTTTTCCTGTTTCTAGAAGGAACAAAAGCAAAAGGAAATCTGGGCCTTAAAGGGCAGATCTAATCCTCTGAGGCGATGCCTTTGCTTAGGTATGTCTCCCCCATCGCTGTTTATTTTGTTTTGAGAGACCAAGTATCACTCTGTAGCTGCTGCTGGCCTTGAATTCACAGAGATCAGCCAACCTCTGCCTCTGGAGGGCTGGGATTAGAGGCAGGACGCACATGGTGCCTGGTTTAGGTGAATACCGTCTTAAATCCCATCCCAGAGTTTCCTAGGCTCTGGCAAGTGAGCAGAACAGAGTGATGTGGGAATTTAGAAGCAGATTGAACTGGGTTTTGACATGAAAGGGTTGGTTAGACCCCTTGGGATCAGATACTATTAAACATGTACTAGTTTTACAGGGGAAAGCTCTGCTTCCAGGGCGAGTTGTATGGTCCAGGGTGTGCTTGGGAGCACGACTGAATCATCACAGAAATAACTTCATCCTCCAACAACACCCAGCCATCTTCCCCGGACTTACTACCTAGCTTTCTAACAGAAAAGAGCCCAGTACCCTGGCATCGCCTCTCCAAGACAGCTACCAACAGCTGGCCACTCAGAAGCAGCATTTCTTGCTTAAGACCGTGTCTGTTTTTAGCATAAAATGAGTGCGTTCTATGCTCCATCTAGCAAGCAGGTCAGCTGTGGGGGGAGAGAAGACAGGGGGAGGGCAGGAGACAGATGGGACTGGTCATCCCCTCTGTCCAGAGCTGTCCCGAAGCCGAAATACGTAGGTATTTCGAAATACGAAATACAGAACTGACTCTGTATAAAGTCAGTTCTCAGCAGGATTCCCCAGTACAGATTTCCCTGAGGCTGCCTTCCACATGCTGGGCATGCAGAACACCTCTCTTTGTTGCTTCCTCTGGTACATGATGCATGAGTTGCAAGTTCCCTCTGGGGTCCTCTGCAACTGTGTGACTGGGTTTCTGGTCCATCAATCGAGGAGCCTTCTAAGACTGTTATGGTAATTTGTGATGAAGGTTACCACACAGCAGGGTGCCCAGTCTTGAGTTCCCACTCATGTTTAAGGTGTTGGGATTCTGCATGCCTTCTGGGGCCAAGCCCCTGAAGTAAATGCTGGAAGTTCATATACCTGAAAATTCCACCCACTTCTGAATGTTATTTAGAATCAGTTCAGCATCCTAGCATGCCCCCAGGAATAAATAATTTTGGAGTCTTTTGATTTTTTGTATATATATATATCCCCTCCCCTCCCTTCCTTCTTCCTCCCTCTATTTCTACCCTCTCCCATGAGCCCCACACTCCCAATTTACTCAGGAGATTTTGTCTTTTTCTACTTTCCGGGTAGACTCTCTTAGGGTCCTCCTTGTTGTTTAGGTTTTCTGGATTTGTGAATTGTAGGTTGTTTTTTTCTTTGCTTTATGTTTAAAAGTCACTTATGAGTGAGTACATATTATATTTGTCTTTCTGGATCTGGGTTACCTCACTCAATATGATGTTTTCTAGATCCATCCATTTGCCTGCAAATTTCAAGATGTCATTATTTTTTTCCTCTGTGTAGTACTCCATTGTGTAAATGTACCACATCTTCTTTATCCATTCTTCAGTCAAGGGGCATTTAGGCTGTTTCCAGGAGTCTTTTGGATATACTCATTTAGGCAGGGTTGTTTTCCATTAAGAACATTAGCTAAAACTTGCCTGTATTTTTCAAGCCTATACTGACCAGATTTTTAGGCAGGGAGTGGAGGACAATGGAGAGTAATTGAGTGGGGGCAGGACTCCACCGGCGGCTCAGTGTACCCATTTTCAGACTAAGCTTCTCACTGCGTGGACTGGCCACTGAGAGGCAGTGTTTCTGAAGGGACCCATCATCAACTGTCTGCTAAGACACTTGTCAGCCTTGGGAACATTTTCTTTCTTTCTTTCTTCCTTCCTTTCTTTTCTTCCTTTCTAGAGACAGGAGAATGGCAGTTTAGATACAAGGAATTACAGGGAGAAATTTGAATAAAATTACTTACATAAGAAGTGGCCTTCTTTAAAATTATTTTAAAAGTAAGAAGAGGAAGCCCAGTGGAAGGGACTGGGTGGCTGTCCTGGGTGTCCAGTTCCTCCTACCTCGACTTTCTGATAAGGGAGCTATTCTTGTCAACAGAGCCCATGGTGACAGCAACCTTTGCCAAGAGTTGTGTTAATGCTAAATGTCAAAAACGAACCTTTATCACACGACTCTGGAGATCCTGGCTGGAGCTTAAATGTTAAATTCTGCTGTCATTGGGGACCTGAGCAGGCTGGGAGCAAAGGTCAGGGTTAATCTGACCAGTTAGCAGGTAGCAACAGCACTTCCTGGTCACCAAGGACAAACCCCCAGGCTGGCCAGAGTGTCTGAGATGAAGGCGAAGAAGTTGGGTGGGGTTTGGCAGGCACCTCATCATGGCCCTGAGGTGGCCACCAGGGCTGGGAATGCTGCCTCTCAGCTTCTCTCCCATTCCAGCCTCCTGATCTTGCAAAAGAGGTCTGGGATTCAGGTCTGACTGTATGAGCAAATGAATATTCGGATAGAAGGTTGTGTTATTGGCTTTGATGAGTACGTGCGCCTTGTATTAGATGATGCAGAAGAGATTCACTCTAAAACAAAGTCAACGAAACAGCTGGGTCGGATCATGCTAAAAGGAGAAGCTGTTACTCTGCTCCAGAGTGTTTCCAGCTAGAGGCTGCCAAGCACTGGAGAAGTCGAGGAGGACGTACAGTGCTCTCAAAGGGGTCATCTGTTGGGAGCACAGTCCCAAAACATTTATTCATATTGTCTTAGTGGCCCTTGTGTCATTATCAGGTGACAATGAATGCAGTGAGCTTGTTTTTTATTACATTAAAAAAAAAAAAGTCAAGGAGATGGATAGACAGCTCCGAGATTAGAACTCATTGCTCTTTGGGTAGATCGAACTTTGGTTCTCAGCCCCTATATGTGGGAGTTTACAACTCACGTGCAGGTGCACACATCAGTGAATAACAAAATAACTCTTTTTTTTTTTTTTTTTTTTTTTTAGTTTAAACTTTCCCATGGTGGCTATCATTTTACATTCCTAGGAACAGCAACCAGTAGCCCAGCCTCTCTGCCCCCTTGCCGACATTTGCTGTCACCCCTGTGCTCTAGCCTTTCTGACAGGTGTGTGCAGTAGCTTGCTGTGGTTTGCTTGCTTTGTTCCCGTGGATAAGGAGCTAGCACCTTCCACTGTGTTTGTTTCCTCTCTGTTCATGTCCTGCAACATCTCTGGCCTGTTTTCTAATTGGATTGTTCTTTGTTTCTCAGTTCGGTTTGGGGAGTTCTTTATACAGTGTGGGCATGAGTCCTTTGTCAGATATGCACTCTGCAAGTATTTCTCCCACTCTGTAATCTGTCCTGTCATCCCCTTAGAACGCCTTTTTCCAAAGCAGATGTGTTCATGATGAACATTGTCATTTTTGTTGTATGGATTACGCTTTTGATGTCAAGTGTAAGAACTCTGCCCAGCTACCCTAGATCCGGAAGCGTTTTCCACAAGCTCTCTCCTCCTCTTACAGCTAAGATCCATTTTGAGATTTTTTTTTATAAAGTCAGAGACTTCAGTTCCCCCCTGCACTCTAATGTCAGATCACCCCTTCCTCATTTGTTGAAAAGGTGATCTTTTCTCCATTGAACTTCTTTTGCACTTTTGTTGAAAACAAATTTAATCAAGAACATTGACTATCATTGTGAAGGTCTCTTCTGGCTTTCTGCTCCTTTGGGCTCTGTGCATCTCCATCTCCCACCACATTCCTGTTTA